TGAAAAGATCTGGAGACAAGATGTAGCCCTAACACACTCCTTTCGTGATTTTGAACCATGCGGTGTTTCCTTGCTCTGTTCTGATGACTACTTCCTGATCCAAACACAGGTTTAGCATAAGCACAATCAAGTGTTCTAGGATTCCCATTCTTCTCAAGGTTAGCCACAATTTGTTGTGATCTACATAGTCAAATACCTTAGCAGAATCAATTAAACACAGACATTTCTCTGGTACTCTCTGCTTTCAGCCAAGATCCATCTGATGTTGGCAATGTTTCCTGTGCCATGGAGTATTCTAAACATGGCCTGTATTTCTGGTGGTTCTCTATTGATGTACCGTTCCAGTTGTTTTTGGATAATCTTCAGCAGGATTTTGCTTGTGTGTGATATCAATGGTATTGTTTGATAATTTCCACACTGTCGGATCACCCTTTTTTGAAATGGGAAGAAATATGGATCTCTTCCAGTCAGTTGACCAGGTTGTTTTCCTCCAGATTTTTTGACAAAACTTAGTCTGCATATCTAGGATGGCACCTGTCTGCTGAGATATGTCAATTGGTATTTAATCAATTCCTGGAGCCAACTCCTTCAAAGCAGCTTGAACTTCTTCCTTCATCACCACTGCCTCTTGATAATGTGTTGTTTCATGAAATTCAGATGAATTGCTCTGGTGAAGGCTGTTGTCAAGGACCTTTCAAAAGTGCTGAAGTGTAATGATGTCAGTCTGAAGACTGATGTGTGCCTGACTCAGGCCATGGTCTTTCCAATTACTTGCTATGTATCAAAGAGTTGGACAATGACCAAAGATGACAGAAGAATTGAGGTCTTCTAGTTTTGTTCCTAGAGAAAAGCCGTGAATATGCCATGCACTGCTAAGAAAACAAACAGGTTGTCCTGAAAAAGGTGAAATGAGGCTGCTCTTTGGAGGCAAGGATTGTGAAGCTCTGTCTCACATACTTTGGGCATGCTGCCAGGAGGGACCAGTCCTTGGAGGACATTATGCTTTGAAGGGTGGACAGACAGCACAAGACAGGAAGACCCTGGATGAGATGGATTGACATAGTAATTGGGATATTGGGAGTAGGTATGTCAGAGACAGTTGAGGCTGGCTCAGAACAGAGACAAGTTCAGAGTTATTGTATATAGAGTAGCAATGAGTTACAAGTGACTCAATGGCATATAACAACAGCAACAACATTTGTATAAGGGTAGAGAAAAGGCACTCTCATATACTAACAGTCTTGGTTAACATCTTTCTCAAAACTCAAACTCACCGCCTTAGAGTCTCTTGGTTTCTAAGACTAAATCTGAAGGGGAGGAAAGTGCTCCTGGAGATGCAAGCATCTTGGTTAGCAATGGAACACACTATTAACCACTACACTATCTGCAGTCCTTGGCATATACAACAGAATTTTGAAACAAAATGCTATTATACTAGAAATTAGTTTACATTCTTATCTAACCACAACTAGGTGAGCACATCCAGGGCAGCATCTGTTTGTTGAAATATGTCAATCGATATGTCATAAATTCCTGGGGCCTTGTTTTTTGCCAATTCTTTCAGAGCAGCTTGAATTTCTTCCTTCATCACCACAGGCTCTTGCTCATACGTTGTTTCATGAAATTCTTCTGTGTCTACCAATTCCTTTCGGTATGATGATTCTGTCTTCTTTTAATGCTTTCTGGATCATTTAATATTCTGCCAAAGCATTCTTAAGTATTTCAACTCGAGGTTTGAATTTGCTCTTCAGTTCCTTCAGCTTAAGAGATTCTGAGCGAGTTCAGCTCCTTTGATTTTCTGACTCCAGCTACTTGCACATATCATTGTAATACTTTATCTTCCAACTCCTTAATATCTAGATTTCTTCTCTTTGCTTTGGCTTCTTGGTGCTCCAGTGCAATAATTAAAGAGTTTCTTCTGATGTCCATCTTGGTCTTTTCTTTCTCCTATCTCTTGTAATGACTTTCTGCATTCTTCCCGGATGATATTCTTAGTATATTCCCACAGCTCATCTGGTCTTCACTCATTTATGTCCAAGGCCTCAAACCTCTTCCTGAGATGGTGTTAAAATTCAGGTGGGATAGACTCAAGGTCAAATTTTGGTTCTTGTGGACTTAATTTTCCTCAGCTTCTTCACCTTGAACTTGCATATGAGTAGTTGGTGGTCTGTTCCACAATCAGCACCCGGCCTAATTTTCACATCTGATATTGAGCTTTTCCAGCGATTCTTTCTACAGATGTAATTGATCTGATTCCTATGCAAACCATAAGTATGCCTTCAATATGGATGGAAGCTCAACATCAAGAAAACAAAGATTCTCACCATTGGGCTGACTGGCAGCATCATGATGGATGACGGAGATTGAGATTGTTAACAGCTTCAATTTGCTTAGCTCTACTGTCAACACTCTTGGTACCAGCAGCCAGGAAATTAAAAGACGAATTGTACTGGCAAAGTCTGCTATCAGAGGCCTCTATAAAGTACTGAAGAGCAACGATGTCAGTATAGAGACTAAGGTGCTCCTGATACAGGCCATGATCTTTGCAATTACTTGCTATACATCAGAAAGGCAGACAATATTTAGGGATGACAGAAAGAGAGTTGATGCCTTTGATCTTTGGTGCTGGAGACGAGTATTGAATACACCATGGACTGCTAGGAGAACAAACAAGTTCGTCCTGGAGAGGGTAAAGCCAGGCTGCTCCTTGGAGGCAAGGATTCTGAAGCTTTGTCTGACATACTTTGGACATGTTGCAAGGAGGGGTCAGACCTTGGAGAGGGACGTCATGCTTGAGAGGCTAGAGAGACAGCGCAGGAGAGGAAGGCCCTCAATAAGATGGAGTGATTCAGTCACTGGGGTAATGGGGTAGGGGTATCGGAGACAATAAGATTGGCAAGGAATAGAGTAGGGTTTAAAGCTATTGTACATAGGGTTGCTATGAGTCACAGGCAACTCAATGGCATGTAACCACCACCACCACCATCTAATAACATATTTTTTCATTTTTTTCTCTCCAGTTTAATTTTCTCATTTCACATACCATTTATAATAACTTTATTCACTGTCCCTTTTGAAGAACAAGGAATATATATTGACGGTGGTATTTTTCCCTCTTCTTTTGACAATGTAGCTATTTTAACATCTTCATTATGTTTGAGAATCTATTGGATTTTTACTGTAGAAAACTGTTCTGACAAACTGGTCCAAAAACTCTGAGCAGGTTTTTTGGATCGTTTATCCTCCAAATATTCTGGGTTTGAGCCTATTGTACTCATGCTGAAAGTTAAAAGAAAAATAAAATCTACGATTTTTTTAGCATTCCAGTTAGCCCTACACATGCAGCCAACAGTCCTGCAGGCCAAGTGCCTCTAAGAGTACAGGAAAGAGCCTCCTGTGTAAAATTTTTTAAGTAGTAAACCAAAACAAACATTTAACCTACTTCACCACCAGGGCTCCTTATAAGTACTAAAAAGACTTCATTTTCCCCACATGTCAACACCATACTGCAGAGTCAAGTTTGAAATATTTTAAAAGTACAAAGAAAAAAGAGGCAAACAAAAAAATATAGTTATTAGAAATAAAAAGGAGTAATGTTTTTAACACATTGCCGCACTTTTTAAATTAACAACCCTGCTTAGAAACACATTTTCCGTCATTTGCAGCAACGTGTTAACTACCACTTAACAATTTTGTTACTATTTCTTGTCTACAGGACACGAACTTCAAAATTCTCCTTTCTATGGTCGTTAAGGAATTGCACTGCCAACCCAACCCAAAGGCAACAGCTGCTCTGAGAGAGAAAAGATGGGCAATATACTCCTGTACAATTTACTGCTTCTGAAAACCCACTGGATGGTCAGCTATGAGTTGGTTCTAATCTGATGACACATAACAACATTCTCAAAAAGCAATCTGGAAAGGACCCCACTTATTAAGGACCTCTTTCTCTCACTCATGGGTGAGAGAACCACCTCATGGGTGATCTTCCATGGGATTTCTCAGACCATAAACATTAAAAAACAAAGATTCTAATCACTGGGCCAAGTGGCTGCATTATGATAGATGGTGAAGAAATTGAGATGTTAATAGCTTTAGTTTGCTTGGCTGCACTCTTGGTATGAGCAGCTGGGAAATCAAAAGACGAATTACACTGGGAAAATGTGCTGTCAGGGACCTCTCCAGAGTTCTGAAGAGCAACAACATCTATCTGTAGACTAAGGTGTGCCTGATCCAGGCCAGTCTTCACAGCTGCTTGCTATGCACAAGAAAGCTGGACAATGACTAGGGATGACAGAAAGAGAATTGATGCCTTTGGGCTATGGTGCTGGGGAAGAGTACTGAATATACTATGGACTGTCAGGTGAACAAACAGGTTCATCCCAGAGAAGGTGAAACCAGGCTGCTCTTTAGAGGGAAGGATTTTGAGGCTTCGTCTGACATAGCCTGGGCAAGCTGCAAGGAGGGACCAGTCCTTAAAGGTGAACATCATGCTTGGAAGGGTGGAGGGATAGCGCAAGAGAGGAAGATCCTGGATGAGATGGATTCAGTGACTGGGGGTAATGAGGGTAGGCATGTCAGAGACAATAAGGTTAGCACAGGATAGAGCAGGTTTCTACAAAACCCTAGCGGAGTTTAGGGCTGTTGTACATAGGGTTGCTATGAGTCACAAGTGAATCGATGGCACATAACAACAAGAAGCACATGAGAGAGGACCGCTCATCTTTCTCTGGCATTGTCACTGGTAGATTCGATCTGCCAAGCACCAGGCCTTTGGGTTTCCAGCACAATTCCCTATAACTAGGCCACCAGGGCTCCCTAAGAATCATTCCTTCTCTCTCTGCCATCAAGTGCAAACCAATTCATAGCTGATCCTTCCCCTTGTTGAATTCAAACTGCACCAGAAAGGCAGCCTTTGGGTTAGCAGTGCTAACTCACTATGGGATATATAACCAAAGCTCTGTGAAGGTTGATTAGAAATTCCAAAATCCCAAACTCACCTTAAACTGTGTCACATCTCTGTAAGAAGGAAAATTTTCAACTACCAGGTACATTAACTTTTGTGCACTTTTTTCACATTTTTTGATACAATTAAGAAAAGAGCCTCCAAACTTCTCAAGCAGAATTTTCCC